CCCCTCCATTCACTCCAGTTGCCTGCTGAATGTCACTGTCCACTCAGAGCAGAGATCCCTCAGAAAGACCCGGGCAAAGTGTCGGTGGCTCTGATCAATGTGGCCCAGCATGTCAGCTCCCTCAAATACCACGTGTGGGCCAAGATGATGGAGCTGGTTCAGTACAGTAAGCGCTCAGTGTGTGTGTGTGTGTATCTCTTCTCCACACTTTGTACTGTTTTGTTTTCTCCTCCTGGCAGCACCCATCACCCTGGACCCCAACACGGCCTACTCCTGGCTGACCCTCTCCTCAGACCTGACCTGTGTGGCCAACAGTGGCTCTCTGAAGCAGCTCCCCGACAACACTGAGAGATTTGGTCATTTTGTGTTTGTCCTGGGCTCGGAGGGCTTCACCTCGGGCCGCCACGCCTGGGAGGTGGAGGTGGGAGACAAGGTGGACTGGATGCTCGGCGTGGTAAAGGGGTCTGTTGACAGAAAAGGTCGTATCTCGGGCTGTCCTGAGGGCGGGTTTTGGATGATATCACACTACGATGGCGAGTACTCGGCCATGACGAGGCCCAGCGTCCCTCTGGACATCCAGGGTGAGCTGACCCAGGTCAGAGTTCAGCTGGACTACGACTCTGGGGAGGTGATCTTCTCAAATCCTATCAGTATGAAGCACATTTACACCTTCACAGACTGCTTCACTGAGAAGATGTACCCGTTCTTCTGCCCTGGGGCAAACATCAACGGGAATAACCCCAAACCCCTGAAGATCTGCCCGGCTAAAGTGGCTGTCTGGAACAGCGCCACATGGTGATTAGGTTAATAAAAAAAAACATCACACAGGACATTAGTGTGTTGTAATATTAAGAAATGACCCCGGAGCAAATCAAATCATTTAGGGAGACGATGATTGTGATGTCAGTGGATGTTTGTGTGTGAGCAGAGTGATCAGTGATGACACTGAGGCTCATTACGTGGGTGATTGTTGTTAATGAATCACAGAGCAGCTGCTGAAGAACTTCCTGATGGTCCGGAGGAGCTCCATTCTGTGTCTCTGTCAGGAAGGTGATCATGCTCAACATCCCCTGCTCTCTCCTGACCATTAATTTCCCCCTGGTGGCCACACACACACGTGCACACTCACACAGAGCAGAGTTACTATGGAGACTCACGCAGCAGATTCCACTCATTTCATCCCCTCTAAACAAACCCTGTGTTGAATTTATTAAAATTCACATTTTATGAATTGCAGTCTAATTGTGTGCCTGTGAAGTGTTTTAGTTTTATATGGGTTTAATTTGTTGATGCAGCTCTGATTTTAGCTGATGGATGTGATCTGAATTGTCTTTGAATGGAGCACAGGAGCTGAGGAGCACTTAGTGAGGAGGACATTTATGTCTCTGATCAACAGCTGTGGCCATTTGGAGAAGAAGTTGTGAATTATTGGTGGTTTCTTTACCTTCATATGCCATTTTCATAAGTAGGCAGGGTTCGCAAGAATGTCGTTTCATGCTTTAGTTGTGTGTGGTGATGTCTTTAACAAGGACTCTGTCTGATTTCTTTGATATGTCTACGACCTATTTGAATGGAAGTGTTTACAGGTGCAAAATAAATCCAGTAGGTGGCAGTATGTAACTCTGTAACGCTGCTGTGAAACCTCCCAAAAGAAGAAGTAAGACACTGGTTGAAGAGGCCTAATATTTTAAATAATAATAAGGTCTCACGATGCTGCTGATGGTCATGCTAACTTCTGTTGTTGAAAAGCAGCTTTTTACTTCAGGCTTTTGTGTCAGACAATGAACCTGTTCGAACTATAACACCTGAGAAACTGTTGCCATGAGAACTGTTTTTTTTTTTTTACAGTTTCCACGTGTGCTGTTTTAATAATACCTACTGTTGCTACATTTCTAAACACTCTATAGGAAAAATAGTTCATGCATCACCATGTGAATGAATACCTGGTGTCAGAGGTGACGTTTGAATACAGGCTTGTCCAAAATCCATATCTTATATTGTCCTATAGTGGTATTTTTTTTTTTTTTAATAATAATTCATATGATCTTGCAGCATCATGTGGTAATTATTTACCTAGGTTAAGATTTAAAAAAAGGAACAGATATTTAACTTCAACATGTGACTTCACCTCTAGTTGTTGTTCTGTAGCCTTTAGTCCTGTGTTGTTGAGACCCCAGCTGAGGGGCCACCTGCTGGGCACAGCGTGTCATGCTAATAAGGTCAGGAATTCCTAACAGAGAAGAAGAAATAGTTGAGTCCAGTCAAGTCCTGTTTATTTATACCGCACATTAAAAACAACGGAGTCAAAGCCAATGTGCTTTACAAAAGCAGGTGCTTAGAAAAAAACCCAACAAAAAACAAAGACAGGGAAACAGATAAAAACACTGTACAGGTAAAACATTTAAATCACAGACATACAATCAGACGTCATCTGGATAAAAAGTGAGACCAAAACGGCTTAGATTGAAAACAGGAACAAATATATACTGTACTGTGTATATTCTGTGGTTTGGGTTGTATTTTCCTAATGTAGAGTATGTGGGATTTTGTTCTGAGTGTGCACTGTACTTGGTTTGTGGATGGATGTGTTCTTTACGGTACATGACTGGTAAAGATCTCTTTCATAATAAGGGTCATATTATTTAGGAACAGGTGTGAATCAATATAAAAGTATTTTGATTCCATGTTCCTGTGCTAATGTCAGTCTGTAAAAAAAACTCTTGTTTCCTTGTTTGTCCTCGTGGCTGTGGTGAGTTGAAGGACATTGAAGTAACAGTGACATTAACGTGAATTGGGGTAAATGCACTCTGTCGGCAAGATTAAAAAAAACAAAAAACAAAACCAAGTAGACCATATGTTGAGAAACCAGCAGCTGCATTTGAAAATAAGCTGTTGGGGAAAAAAAGATGTCAATGACAGTTTCCCTCATGGTTATGGCTTTAATTGTGTTTGTCTAAACTAGTCCCAGGTTTAGTCCCTTGTGATAAAAAAAAAAGAAAATAGAGTCACAGATTAGCTTCAAGTTACCATTAAACATGTGCTTTTGCTTGTATACAATATGGTTGAGTTAGAGGATTTATTTTAGGTATAAGTTTGGATATTTCTTCCTGGCTTTTCATTATTTCTTACATAGCTTATTAGAGCTGTTTCTTCCTAGCTAGCTAACTTTGAGCTAGCTCATAGCTATTTTGGTATATATATATTTACGAGTTGAAGCTTTCTGAGGAATATTTGTTTGGACTAATGACAATCAGTGTGTTTTATCAGGAAGCGTGGAAGTGAAAATCGGACCCACAACCTACTGTAGCTTTACCACAGCAACTGTAAACTATTGACGACTACTACAACAGACAAACAAAATCACATCCTAACCAGGGAGTGTGACTATGTTCAAGTACACAGAAGACATCGTCGCCTGTACTTTAAGGTTTAAGTACGATGACTGAAGGGATTAGACATGGCAACTGCTCAAACCAACAAACAGAAATTAAGAAACGATTATCTGGAATGACGAGCTTTTAATTGGTCCTAATGTATATTTATGTTATAAAAAACACAAACACTTGTCAGCAGATGTCATTAACATTCATTCTCATCTGTTAACAGAAATGTTGCTACAACAAACATCCAAAATGTCAGCGGCCGTTAAAAAGCAGAGGCTAATGATGGTGAAACATTACTGGTGTATTATCAATGAAGGGGAGCTTTCAGCAACATTAAGAACATGTTTCCACCTACATCTCCATTGCTAAACAAAGACTTCTGAGAATTGCCTGAAATTTAGCTTAAAGTTTGTTAAAGGTCGACCAGAGCAGCTTGGATTGAGTTTACATTTGGCAGAAAGTGGAAACCAGACCAATAGTCTGACTGTTAGTGGCTTAGAGGAAAACCAAATATGGCTGATTGTTAGAGTACAGTTAAAACTGAAGGACAAAAATAAATACTACACATATCTACTGTTAGGGATTTCTTGTTGACGTGAATGCAGTATACGGTATATGATTATGTGCAATCACTACAGTACTGCAAATATTAACTGTAGAGCTTGTACTGTACTGTGTGATTCATTCATGTGATTTAGACTGAACTTCTGGTTTTTATGAAGAGTCCTTTTCACTGGGTTTAAAATCATTGTATTATTTATAGCAACTTTCTGGCCTTGTTATATTTACTGTTACTAACATAGACGTTCTTTACACATATACATATACATATTCTTAAATCTAATATTATATATTCTATTATATAATTCTCTCTCTTTCTCTTTTGTTGAACCAAAGTATGAAGTGATATCCAGTAGAGCACATTGTTTTTCAGGGGGAGGGGCTTGTGGCCACACCTAATATGATGTTAACTGTACACATTAAGTCATGGCTTATTGTAGTTGTCGGCCTCTCCAACATGCATGTCATTAACAACAGCATGGATGGACGACTCACAGTGATCCACAGAAACATAGAAGTGGAAGGAAAATTGTCCGCGGACCGAGTGTTGATCATTGAGACTGCTGCTCTTTGGGTTTATTTGCTGCTGGTGAGCGTTACATGACGGAGCTCATTTTCAGTGTGAGTGACAGGGTACAAAGTTTCAGAGAGGCTTCACGTAGACCCCGGCCTCGGAAAAAAGTCAAAACAGAACAGGTTCAGTTTCAGGTACGTTAAACAACATTAGGAGAAACGGCTACGACAGAGAGAAGGACAAACAGAAGGGTTAAAAACGTCCCTCAACTTCCACTTGGCAGCAGATCACTTTGGGTGTCCCGACAGAACTGGCAGTGTCTTGCTCTAGATCCACGCATTTACTTTCACTGGCATTCCTTTACAAACACACACTCACGCATACACACGATGCAGAACAAACATGCACATACGCAGTTATAAGTTTTTCTTTAAATGCACTTCTGTGTCCCGCAGGTCTATGCTCTGAAAATAGGTGCATAAATAAAACATTCCATTCATCGTAGAAGAGAAAAGGTCCATGCATGTCTGACACCTCGGTGTCCAATCAGGACTGAAGGTGGAGAGGATGAGACGCTGCATCCCACTCCATCTGATCAGTTCTTGATTTCCTCTCCATCCTCAAGTGTCTGTTGCTGTTCCCTCTCCATCTGGATCAGTGGTTTGACGACACTGTCTGTCTGTCAGTGTCTTTGTCCCTCACAGATGGGTGCTGTCTGTGGTGTCAAACCTGTGGCTCTCTGAGAGGCCAGCGCTGCACTTCCTGCTGCTACCCTGATTGGGCACCAGGGAGAGGGGATCTGGTCGGATCAGATACCTGTAGAGAAGGCACACACAACCTGAAGTAATACTTATACCCCCTCCCCCCCATGCTGTGTTCATCTTTAAAGGGTCATCAACCTCTCGGAGTGTGCTGGGTACTCACACAACATCATGGAGCTCTAGTCTGGTGTCTGGAGAGGGATTGATGAGGATGTACGAGAGTCTGTTGCCTTGGTCTGTCATCCCATCTGACACGGGCGGGAAAAAAAAGGAGTGAGTGAGTGAGGCAGGAAATAAAAGAGGGACAGGACAAACAGCAGGCTGTGAAACATCCGCAGACCAGCGAGTGACGCTGTCTCCCAGTGAGTCACAAGTTGGGGAGACAAGTTTAGATTAAAGCAGGGACAGACTGAGACAGAGCAGAGACTATTAATTTATCAAAAACCCAGAGACAATCCACATACACGCAGAGAACATAAAAAATCATTGTCCTGCTATAATGGTTTTAATTTGTGGATTTTTTTTTTGTAGAATTGTTGGTGAAGTTGAGACAGCGCCCTCTGCCTATGTCTCATGCATTGAAGTGAGTATGACATTATATATGAGTTAGAATTAAGGATTAATGTCAAAAACGATTTTGAACTTGGGAATTCCTACTGCATGTTTTACTCCCCCTATAGGCGAGAAAGGGACGCTGCATGTACTATTTTATCTTCTATCTTTCAATACTGTAGCTTAAAGGAAATAATATTATTCATAGTATTTACTTCAGTTTAAATTACAAGGACATCCTATTGTTATTATTTTTATTATTAAGGACATTTCTTAAGTTAGTGACTTGTCAGTTCCAAAGTGTAGCGGTTAACACGCCTGCCTTGAAAGCAAAAAGTCCTGGGTTTAATTCCCAGAGGAACTACATACTTGTTGGTGCCTGGTAACAACAAATCTGCTGTTGACACAAGAATTTCCTAAAATATGGCATCAAAAAACATCTGAGGAGATGATTTAGAGCACACCACTTCCGTTCACACCGTTTCACTGACTTACTGAATCCAGTTGGTGAAAGGCCCAGATGTTTCATGCGTGTTCGCACCAGGGCGTTGAGTTCCTGCCTCTCTGATCGCCTGAACAGGGTCAGCCTCTGCTGACTGATCCTCTCTGCAGCACTGCCCGCTCCTCCCTTGGCCCCGCTGGAGCTCCGGCCGCCCTTCCTGCTCAGCCGACGTGCCCACTGCATGCTCTTCCTGCGGAGCAGCGGGTGGTCGGAGGAGTGGGAGGAGGTGGAGATGGGCTCTGAGGAGGTGGAGTTGCGGTGTGCGCCGCTCCTGGACAGCAGGGGTTCTCTGGGTTCTCTGGTGTCTTCGTAGTCCTCCACAGTGATAGACACCTGGGACTGAAACAGCAGCACATCGTCGGCACTTTTTCCTCGGTCGTGTCGTCAACATGTTATCACGCTAGTTTTATTAGATCCGTTTGTCATCTGTGGTGTCTGAATCCTCACAATAAGGAGGAAATAATCATTTCTTTATCATCTTAATACGACTAATGGGTGCGATAACAACCCAAGTCATAACTTTTTTTTTATTGTTAAATAACCAAGTAATTTTGTTTATTTACACATCTAGATTCCACCTGTTATCACAGCAGGTAAATAAATCTTCACCATGTTTTTAACAATCACACTATGTGACATTTATTTTGCATCCTCAACTAGAAAGGAGGACTGGTGTCTGACCTCAGACACTGGGAGCTTGTGGGCCTCAGTTCTGTAGATGCCTATGGGAATGTCTCCAGTGGAGGAGCACAGTTTCTGGTAGAGCCTGCCGTAGGTGCGAATCCACAGGTCGTCCTCAGTGATTCTCATCTAGAAAACAAATGGCAGACGTTAATTAGCCTCAGAGGCTATGCTAGGGCCTGGAGTTGCGACGACGTCAAGCTGTTCATGTTTGGTCTCTTACTGCACAGAGGAAACCTGAGCCAGGCATGGAGTCCAATCCCAGCAGCAGTCTGGTGATGGAGATCATGTAGTCCTTCACGAATGACTGGCAGGAGGAGGAAGCAGGGTACGAGGCATAAGTTACATTTTTCGGCAACAGGAAATGTTGTTATTCCGAGACAGTTGTCAGGGGTTGGTACCTGGTAGAGAAGAGTGTCCAGCATGCTAACACTGAAAACCTTCCCTGCAGCAAAGGGCAGTCGGAACATGAAGACCAGGTTGGAGCCCTTCTCTCTTTCCTTCTGCAGGGCAACAACACAAACACACACACTAGGACAAGCGAAGGGGTTCAAAAGATTTCTGATTTTAATCACTATAGCACGTTACAAGAAGTCACTCAGGCTGGTATGATTTTATCATCATTGATCGAGTTGTGAACCCTTACAAAAATTATTCTGAATCCACCAAATTAATTAGAGATTTTTTTTTCATAATGCTACATCTGACCTTTTTTTTCCAGTTACAGCCTCTGGATGAAAAGTAAAGAAATAAAGAAGAAGTAAGAAATAAAGTTCAAGTAGTGAAAGCTTTTACCTTTTCTAGTTTAGACAAGGCCAGAGAGTAGTGGTCTTTGACCTTGAACTGCATGAAGCGCATGTTGGCCGGGTGTGTGAGCTCTGTGATGATGCTCAGAGCTGGAAACAGTCTGTAAAGATGAGGAAAAAGAACAGAGATATATCTTGTCTTGTCTTTTCATCTCAATCCCTTTAGTCATTCTTAAAGGTCCAGTAGGTGGCAGTAACACGATATCAAGGATGCCAAGTGACTATGAAAACCAAGTGTTACGATTGAGCAAAACCTTTGACTATTGTTTTTTCTAGTGGCATTTGTTCAATTGTGTGACCTTCAGTTCTACAGCAGATCAAATATTCAATCTGTGTTTGTAGCGCCCTCTACAGAGAACAGTGGAGATAATGCATGCTCTTCATATACAGTAAATAAAATCAAACCTGAAGAGGGTCTGTACGTTGACGATGGTCTTGGCGTCAGCCATGTAGTCCTCCTCTGCGATCATGGAGCTCTCCTTGTCCACCACCACCATGGTGTTGGCGAAAGTAACTCCACAGCGAAGCAAACTGTCCAGACTGTGGAGACGGCGCGAGAGGGAATGGCAGTCATTAGAATAACGAGGGCAGGGTGAATAAATCAAAGCTCCATCTCAGTTCTTTGATGGTTGATGAACCGCATAGAAAAACTGCAGTTGAGTCTTACTTGTCGATGGAGCCCACTGTGTAGAACACCATGGGGAACCAACAGATTGCCTCCAAGAAGTCTGCTTCAGGTCTGCACCAATCAAAACACAAATGGACTTGAGATTCCCACCAGTGGAGATTTATTTGCGTGGCGATGGAGCGGTAACTCAGAAACAAAACCTCCCTGTGTTAGCCGGAGAAATACAACAAAGCCAAAGTGCCTGCAGAGACGGCTGAAAATAACAGCACTACACTCGGGTGACTCAGCGTTTTTTATTGGATTCCACTCTAATTTGGCAGACAGCTTTTGTGTACTCACCACACAAAAAAGTCACACCAGGCTGGGAAAGCGTTTCTCATGAAAGCGTCCATCATTTCACAAAATGCTTTCACCTAACAGCTCAGTTATCCTCCGCTATATAAAGTAGGACGACGTGTGGTCTAACCCACACCTGGGCTGCAGTCAACAAAAGGGAAATCCAATTGTTTTTAATTTACAGTGTCCTACTTCTATGTGAACAGGGACAAAACAAAACTAAGGATATATTAGGAACATATAGGAATAAGTGCTATTCAACATGAATCGACTTTAATACAGTCAAACTCAGAGAGAAAAAAAAGGATCTTTTTATCTATCAAAAATACTTCCCTGGTACCATCCAACTTGGTCTCCCACTCCAAATTCAGCAAGTTGGAATTGCACTCATCATGTGACTACTTGTGTCAAATGTGACCTACTTGTGTTTGAAGCTACATTTCAAAGCACTGATGGACCTCCAAGTGTTCTTACATGCTCTCCAGCAGCAGAACGATGGGGTTCAGCTCCTTCCTGGGTCTGTAGTAGGCCCGCAGAGGCACAATGAAGTTGTAGAGACCATTGCCGGCACTCTCCGCAGATACAATGATCAATTTGTTTTTGAAGCCGTAGGAGCGAGCGTCCTCAAAAGGCATGTGGTGACAGGGCTAGGGGGCGACAGAGAGCAGAGGACGTGGTGAAGATGAAATCCTCAGTTAAAGCTAACATTTCTCTGTGAAACAGAAAAATTAAATGCTGTGCTATGTGTAAAAAAATGTGAGTACAAGTACACAAGTACACAGTACTAGTGAATGTCCAGAAAATATTAGAAAATAGGAAAAGGCGATCTCAGACCTTATCCATACGCAAGCAGCAAAAAGGCATCTTTTCTTGGAGGAGGTGGCAGAGTGCAGGGGAGCTGCCGATGTAGGGGGAGTTCAGCGGGTAACCTTTGACCCACCTGCAGCACAGGTCCCCAGTTACAACAGATGAGTGTATTTCAGAAGAACAAAATCATAAACATTACACTTACTCGCAGTGTCGGCCCCACCAGTGGGCGCTCTCGTCTTTGTCGCTGTCCTCCTTGTCCTCTTCCCCTCCCTCGTCCTCTGACTGATCTCCCAGCAGGTCAAACGTGGGGGGGGTAACTCCGTCCATCAGCTCCAGTACGGGGGCGATGCTGTGCCGTCTCTCCTCGGCGGAGTCCCCCATGGCGGGCAGTGCCAGGGTGTTGGCGCCGCTCATCTCTGTCCTGGAGCTGCTCCTGCTTCCTCTTCCACTGCCCAGCCCTGTACTGCCTGCATCCTGTCCCTCTGGGCTGCTGTCACTGGAGTCCTGCAGGTCCATGGCCACTGTGCCTGAAGAGGAGACGCACCCATAACTATAACTCTCCAACAAGAGATTCACAAAGAGACTGAAGTGCTAACATATTAGAATTCAGGAGAATGTCTTCACTCCCCCGTCCTAGTTTCTCCACAAATCAATTCTTTTGTATGTATGAAAGATCAGCAGTGAAATCCTGATACAAAAGTGGTTGCGAGCATCATTATTGACCAATCTGGATGGTTTGCAGACACAGGATAATACCTTTCATATCAATTTAGTCACAGCAAGATATTCTCTGCTTGGTTTTGTTCTTGCAGGTTTTCACCTCATGTCTGATCTGCTTCTTTCTGTCTCCATTTCACTTTTTCTTTCGTTGGAAAATTATCAGAAGTGCTTGAATGTAAATGTGGCATTTTAAAGACCTAAGTAACTACTTTACACTTTAAAAAAGCCTTAATAAAAATAACATTTTAAGAAAAAAAGTCTTAGCCCAGCAAGGCATAAACTATTTTGTAGGCTTTTTTTTTTTACTAAAACATAACTGCCTATTTATCAAAACAGATTGAGAGAGTGCACATATAAATACGTAGAAAGTCTGTATAAAGGTTATTTTATTTTAAATTCTTTGGTCACTTAAGCTAGCTAACTGGCTAACATTAAACACCTGCTGTAACCACATTAGTTATTGGACAGGCAGTAAACTTGCAGTGCTGCTTTTGTCCACCAGGTGGTGTGTTTGTCAAGCCCCTCTGTCTGACATTTCACCCCATCCACCTGTTGCTCTTATCAGGTGTGACTTATTATCAGATACACGTCAAAACACCTGCGAAGCCGTGTATCTCTTTATTCCCTCTGATGGGCCATAAATGAGGAACCACATCTCCATGACAACTCTGTCTGCACTGCTGCGTTGTCGTTTGCTCCATCTGTCTGCACTGCTGCGTTGTCGTTTGTCATCACACACACACACACGTCTGCCGTGCATGTTTGTGCAGTAAAGGACAGTGGGGGAAAGAAGGTCAGTGTGTAAATGTTACGCAGCCGTCATGTCGTGCTGCAGTGACTGACCCATGCTGGCGATGATGCTGTGCACAGGGAGGCGGGTGAGGCCATGGTAGATGGTTTGGTGAACTCCCCTGGCATTTCCTCCCGAGCTGCCCCACGATGGCTCTCTTTGGCCCCTGACAAACGCAGAGTTCTCCTCTTTGGAGAGGTTGATGTAGAAGCAGGTGTCCGAGGCCCCCATGATGTGGCAGGGCCCGGGGTTGAGCAGGATGTTGGTGGTGTCTAGTCTGCGAACTCCTATTAAACACACACCGAACCTGCGCAACGGGGGAAACCAGATCAGAATCAGAATCAGAGCCTTCAGCCTGAGAAATTATAAATATTCTATTTCAAGTTTTAAGCATTGATTTCAATAATGCATGTATGCATGTAACCTCTTCATGTAGACAGCTTGCATAATTTACTTTGCCACGGGGCAAACGTCTTTCACACATGCTAAAGTTCTTGCCTCCTGAGAATATAGTAGATTTCATGTCAGTGACTTGGTCTGGTTTTGTCCATAGTTCAGGTGTTTCAGTCATTTTTTTTGTGTTACTAAATCTCTTACGTTTCTACACATCTGATGTTTCTCTGAATTTGGTGTCAAATGTGTCAAACTCAAGGCCCGGGGGCCTAATGCGGCCCGCCAAACTGTTTGGTGTTTGCACCCTTGAGTTAATTAAATTCATCTCTGCTGTCTGCAGATAGTTATTCATCAGTTTTCTGGTTTATTTCAAGTCATATCAGTTCTGTTTTTCTTATGACTGTGTTAAACTTTTACTTCCTTTTCATCCATTCACAAAGTTCCTGGTTCACAGGTCCAGCCAGACCAGATCTTTGATCTAAATTTTGCAGTGTATGTTCTTCCTTAACTCTAGTTCAGGGCTGTCAAATCCCTGGCCTGTGGGCCACTTTAGTCCCACAAAATCGGGCCCACAACTAAATGTCAATAATTACTTCATTCTACCCCTGAGAAGTCTTATAATATTTATTTTCAGTTATTTTGTTCATTCATTAATTCTACCCATTAGCTCTGTTATACACTACAGTATTTAAAGAATTTAAAATTTGTCATGTTATCTCCCAAAATGATTTGCCTCCAGTGCGTGTCGTTTCTACCAGGTTTAGATAGAATCTAATCTTTATTGACCCTTAAGGTCCAGACTGGTCTAAGTCTTCCATTAGTATTCTGGCAGTAGTTCTGAGATTTTGAGTTAAAAATGTATCTAGCGGCCATCTTTTAATTTACCTCTGCTATGTTTTAATCCCCTAAAACGTCTCACAGAAAGCACATGGGAAAAACTTTGAGAGGATTTATTCTGAAGGAAAGGCTTTGTGACGTGTGAATCTTCTAATATCGAACCGTCGTGACTTACTTTTTATGTGCATGAAAGGAAGCAAAGGTGAAACTCTTGCCCTGGTATTCTCCGAAGAATTTACTCTCCTCCAGTCGGATGTGATGCACCTCGTTGCCAGAGCAGCGACGGTAGGTGCGGTGCCATTGGTCCGCTGAACAAGCCCCCGCCTCCCTGAGAGAGAGAGAGAGAAAAAACTTGGCTGAGTGACCCCTGACCTTAAAGAAACACCTAACACAAAGCCTAAAGCTCCGCGGCAGGGTCACATTGAAGGATTTTCCATTTAAGGTCAGAGCTGCTGATCAATACTTCAATCAGGACATGAATGTGGACAAGGACAAAAGTCTGTGTGGACAATAGGTCCCAGATGCTAATGCTTGTGCCGTTAAATGGACAACGCTTCTCTCGGGGGATAGGGCTTCAGATGCGGAGGCTAAGAAGGTGATAACAGGAAACGAGGTTGTGGGGGAAGTGTGAATGTGGGTGGCCTGCGTCAAAGACGCCATTACATAAACAAGTGTTACAGTGAATTTGCAGTTTACAGGAGTGAAGAGCGAGGCAGGAGGGAAGGAGGAGGACGGACCCTGGTGTAGCATGTGGCATTGTAACAGCCGATAAACCAAATGGCATCAGGTCCGAAAGTAGGGCAGAGTTTCAGAACAAACTGTTTTTAAACTCGGACTTATTTGCCACCTGCTGTTAAAGTGTTTAGTACAATGTGCTTGACATTTGCAGTAGTTTGCAAAAGTATTATATAAGTCTTGGCTTTGTTTTTAGCAGTAATGATGCGACTGTATTGAACGGATGACTATTTTTAAATCTTATGTAGAGCGTGACAACCGAAAAAGAGAGAAGACAAAATGTTTTTCCTTTCTTTTGTCTTTTAAACAAAGAAATTAAGGGAAGTCCTGACTCAGCTCCTGTCAGCTTCACTGTGATGAGGCTGACTGGAGTCTGAAAAGATGTTTGATGAAAAATGTTCTTGCTGTCGTAAAGGTTAGCGGCACGGAATACACTCAAGTCCAAAGATGAAACAGAGCAGCAGAAAGATTTGAATATGCTGAAGATGAAAATTCAGTGGTAACTGGAGAGACGTAAAAAAGGACAGATGGATAAATGTCAATAAACAGTGTCATATGATTTATCATTAAATTAAACAGGAAGAGTTAGTTAGTTAATAATTAATTAAAAATTGTTAGTTAAGAGACAAATGCACACTATGCCGGGACTCTTTTGTATCGTCCAAACTCTGCCATAATTGGTCTCACACTTCCTTTCTAAAGTCTGTGCAGATGATCAAAGAGTGAGTGTGGAGGCAGACTGATATTCTGGGCAAACACCAGCACAGATGTGGCCCAGGATTAGTGTGTGTCACAGATCAGATGTATCGTACCTGTTGAGGGCTTGAAAGGCACCGACGCGCTGCTTGAAGCCCTCTTGAGGAGTTGTTCTGAAAAAGAAACGGGGACAGATGTACAGCTCTACACTGTCACACAGAAAGTGATGACAGAGAGGTGGAGGGGTGGGGGGGTGGGGAGGTGGGGGTGCGGAGGTTGTTGGGCACTCACTGTCCTCTGGAGGAATGAATCAACAAAGTGATGAGCGTTGAGGTGCCAGGGCACACGCAGTTTAGCGCCAGCATGGCATACTTAAACTCCTCTTCACACACCACATGATCTGAAGAGAGGAAGAGGAAGCACAGGGTCACAAAGGTCATCTTCGACAAACACTCAGATTAGGCTCCATGAGAGGCTTAATCTTTAATGTACATTAAATACAAATGTTCTATTAACTCATGTCATTACTAACTCATGTTGTTACTAACTCACGTCTACTTACTCACGTCATTACTAACTCATGTAACCACCATCAATGGACCAGGAGTAAAAATACTCAACTTTCTCAAAGAGTAAATATCACAGATATTTATCCACACTTCACTGATTATTGAAGCCTAAAATTAGAGTGAAGACATTCATGCCCTCAGGTGATGTCTGTGAATTTGTCTTTTCCAAATTCAAGAACAGATACGAGCCACACAGAATGATCAATATTCAAATGAATAAATATATTTAATGGATAAAGCCTAAAAACAGCAGACCACACCACAAATCACGTGTTGCCAAAAGCACTGAAAAACAGCATCTGAATAATTAAACAGCACAACTTTCCATAATCAATATTGAGTTTCTGGTGTGTTTTTTTTAGTATCTACTGATGACATAAACGACTTTTAAAATAAACTTTCAGTTCTATATTTATGTGCCAATGCCTTGGTGTTAAGGTTGTGAAAAGGCGCTAAGCCTCGGTGAAAAGACGTAATAGGATTCACAGTAATTACCTGCTTTCAGGAGGATTAGACCCAGGAATATTTAATTTTTTTTTTTAACTCTAGGTGACTCCCAAAAGCGGCTTTTTCTTTTAACTCATTAAATTGCATGATTGTGTCCTCCATGAGGCAACAAAGACAGTCAAATGTTTAATTCTACTGCAGGAACAAGAATAAGGAGACAGGAAGCAGTTTCCATCCAAAGATCTAGAAGAGCTAAAGCTAACAGTGACTGAATACATGTGGATTGTTGTTTTTGTCTGATGCTGTAGAAGTTAATTTCCCTCAAGGGATTTATAACATACTTCTTCTTTCTTTCTTTTTATACAGTTACAGCTTAGCTGAGTAAATAGAAATGACTAAAACTGCTATTTTAGTCCTTGTTTGTTTGTTCAAATATTCTGTATTTATGCATTCTCACTAATTTTTTATTTTTTTGCTTAAAAGGTAAATATTTACTACCCTCTATTCTTCTTCTAGTTAACATTGATCAACCTAACACAATAATCCACCTTCACTCCTTGGTGTCAGGAGCTAATGTGCTAATGCTGCAGCATCAGCTTATTGTATCACCTGAATGTACCACAGCATCTACGCATAAAATATCCCAACCTAACTGAACAAACATGATGGCCGTCTCACGTTTACCTTTTCCCCACACGGGCACTGACATTACTTAAACAAAAACAAAACAACAAAAGACAATTAACATTTACAGCAGGACAATCAGTGAGAGAATCAGGCCCAGGGAGCAGTCGTTTTTCCTGCTGTTGTAAGTCTTGATTGCATTAGCCTACGTAATGAGCACACTGGCATATTAGGGCTAAAAGAACAATATGTGCTCCCTAGTAGAAGAAATGATGATGAGTGTAAACCGTCAGAGCCTGATATGAATGATCAAACTAAATCAGTTGCCTGCCTGAGTATCACGGAGGACACCAGAGATGTAAATGCATTTTAATGACACAGGTCAGGGGTCTGTGTCGGTCGCAGCTGAGCACGTGAGACGTGACAAGTCCAATCCTAGGCGGTGGAGGTGCAGTACCAATGTTCTTTTGGCTCAGAACTGTAAACAACACGTGCACGTGCATGTGCACGCACGTACACACAGGGTACTGCGCTGACATCTATTCATGTTGGCAACCTGGCCATGCACACATCGCTCACCCAGAGATTCTCTGTCACACAGTACATTTCTGCTCAGGGTTACGAAGAGCAGGTGATGAAAGATGATGACGGTCCCTAACCCCCATACACTCACCCTTAACTCTGTCTTCATTTGACCTTAAACTAAAGAAATCAGGCTCCGCTTCATTAACCAGCACAGCATTTATTTTATTTCAGTGTGTGTACCTAACTGTATTTTAATTTGTTTATTTCAAGTTCTTTGGAAGTGTACTAGTATGACAAAAGAAAACAGTTTTTCATGTGACTAAAATTATTTATTCCAAACAGTTAGGAAAAGGAGAAGATGGGAGAGTCGTGATGTGTGTGTCTGTGTGTGTGTGTGTGTGTGTATGTGTGCATGGCCTTACGGTTGTGCAGATGTGGCTACTTTCACCCTGTGCAGAGAGCAATTACACCCTGACCACAGGTCCACCGCCTGTGCTAATTAAATCAACTGGCCCTTGGTTGTTTTTATATGCTATCAACACTACACACACTCAGTTAGCCAAACTCAGGAGGGTGAGTGGCTATTGTTTTGCACAACATTAAGTGGGGAGACAATCAGTCCGCATCCAAATCTGTTTGGTTACTCAGAGTGTTTCCCGGTCTGCTGCAGCGTCACACCGTCACATCTATCCTAATGAACGCCGAGCCGCTATTACGATATTCCTGTGGATCAAATTAAATCTTGTATCTCTTGCTCATTAATGCCTCCCACGCCAGCACTTAGTGAGCATATTCGAAGTGGTGTCAAAACATGGCATGTGTACTTACCACTAATGCCTGTGTGACTGACTGCACAATACGACTTGGGGCCATTAAAGCCAGTTCACTGTGAACTTTTCTCAACTTAAGGGATTAGAGGGGCATTACCAAGTGAAAAACAGAGATTTTAGCATTCAAGTTGATAGGTTGTTACACAAGCTGGTGAACATGCAATGCGAAGAATTCTCTACAAACATGTAGCAAAGTTACATAAGAAACTGTCAAAAGTAAATAAAAAACAACTAAGCTGACAAGAACAGGAGAGGGAAACAGACAGCCCTAACAGCTACAGCATGTTGTACATGACATACGTATATATGTATAGCGTCCTGCACCTTAAATGTTACTTAATCTTAATTTTCCTCTATTATTTACACAATAAAAAGCCTAAAAGATTAATGAATAATACCAGAAACGACTATTCTAAATAGTCAGCTTTGCAAACTTATTTGGAAAACTAGCTAGTTAAAATATTAAAAAATGAAAAAAAAATATAAAAGGAATTAAAATAAAATGAAAATATAGAGGAAAGACAACAACAATAAGAGGATAAAAAGAGATGTATATTTCTTTTTCTCCGTGTGAGCAAAAATAAAGTCCGAAAAACGATGCACAGACAGTCTGTGACCAAGTTGTGTCGTTACAGAGCACCACACGAACAGCCAATCTGAACATCATCGTGGACAGTCATGAACTCTATCGCGTCTAACTCTTCCTGCTTCATGGCAACATAAGACCTTCATCTGTCGGAGGCTCTGAGGTGTTTAAACAGAAGTGCCAGGCCAAACGAGGATTGGGAAGTGAGAGAGCTTAAGTGCCAGGTTGGCACAGCAGCAGCTGAACTTTAGAAAAATATATTTTTTTTCTTTGCCAACACAGCAAAGTGAGGCACTAATCATAGAAGGAGACAGCTGGGTTGAAGGCGGCAGGCTAGAATTGAGTTTGACGTTTTCATAAAGCTGCAGTCGGGGGAGTGAGGGGGGGCAATGAGGGAAACTGATAGACTTCTTATCTCCGTGTCTCATACCTGCAAATGATTGAGTGGTGTTTTCTGTCGAGCAAGAGAAAAAGCGAAGTCATGAATGGTCCGTACTTTTACACAAGACTTCTTTTCAGTCCTGAGGCCAATCAAAGCTTTGGACACCTATGTTCTGTCAGTCACCCGTTGACGGTACAGTTACCTGGAGCAACTCAGGATAAAGCTTCCTGTAGACTTTTATTTTTAACAAATGTCTGACCATGAGTTTGTAATTTGGAGCGATAACAAAACATTGTTTGTAGTAATAATTAGTTAAAAAAATCTATTTTCTCTGCAGATGAAATATCCAACTTAGATTTTTTTCAAATAATTTGGATTGTGTTTTGCATTTTTCCTGGTATTTATACGTTTTTTAGGAGTGGTGTCTGTAGCCCTGGCGTGATACAGAGGTCTTCTGCTTCACAGAAACAGAAAATGAAGTTCAGCAAATACAGCAGACAAACTCGAAATTCCATTTCAACAATCAATAGAAGTGGAGAGAGGACAGTTACGATCAGCGGTTATCGACTGCAGCAGCCTGTATCCAAATAAGTATGCTCGTCTAATCGCCCGTTGTCTGAGACAATGGTTTGTTTTTTTTTATCGTGCTAAGTGACAACACAATTCACAGAATCATCCGTCAAACCCAGCCGGGGTGATTTTATTAGGTGTCAACCCATTATTTCCTGCATCCTAATGTGGACAGATAACACATCGGCCGACAATTTACTGCTTGTGCTGGACTTCACACCCGCTGCCTACCTGCAAATTTGACGTGGAACTTGTTCTCGGGTTTGAGGATCTGCACATACAGGGGGCAATTTGGTGCGAAGTCTTTCACCGCCCAGGCTCGGAGGATAGTCTGGTGATCCTGAGAAGATTGGAGATGGTTTGAGGTAGAGAGAGAGAGAGGGGCAGATAGAGAGAGATAGAGAAAGTGTGTGTGACACAGTAAGAAAAAGAGGCAGAAAGCCCATCATTAGACATCTCAGATTGCAGTTCTTTCTCTAATAATCCTCTTAAACCACTGACTGCAGAGAGTAATTGAACTGCGTTCACAACATTTCACAGTAATGGAATTTGGATATTTTTCCCTCACAGCGGTCAAACCTTTGCGAACCATGTGGCGAGAGAATTGAGTGACGCTGCCATTAAAAACTAAGTGGCTCCATCAGGCTTGTGTCCTCCTGCCAACACAGTTGGGCTGACGATGGTGGCAGTCAGAATGAACACAAACCACAGCTGAGACGAGTGGAAACGCCACTTCTGTTCTGTTCTGTTCTGTATGTATGGTCATACCCACGTAATAATATACGACATCTATTATTTAAATATATAAACACCAGGGCTGTCTGTTGATTGAAAATCGTAATCAGAATAATCACAAGGTAGCTGTGGATTAATGATGATTAATTATAATAATTGTCCTATTATTAAATTGCTGGCACAGAAAGACAAATCCCACTGGTTAGATGCTTGTGTTTCACACCTCTTTGTATTTCTGACTAATCAGAATAATGGAACTATTTATTGATTGCCGCGTCAGTCGTCTTGTCAGTCGTCTCCACAAATCAATTAGCACGATTAAGACGTTAATTTCTACAGCCCTAATAAATACGATGTAACTAAGAGACTAATGAACGTTGACCCCGTCATTATAACTGTTCAATAGAGTGCGAGTCATGAAGGCAAAGTTCACAGACGGCCTGGATTGATCTGAACTGGAATGGTTTACCCTGCGTATCTATGGTGCCCCATATGAACTGGAATTGAGAGATGTAAAAGGAACATCAAGGAGTGACAGCAGTGACAAACGTACAGCAGCGATGCGGTCCACTTCAAACCGGTTACTGAGGATGAAGCAGGCCTCAGCATCGTCCATCCTACAGGCGGTTAATGGAGCACGTGACCACAGGAGAGAAAGAGAGAGGGGAGAAAACACAGTGAGGAGGGAGCTGTCATTTTTTCTAACAAGGAAAAGGACAAAAGACGAGAGGACAACAATAGAACAACAAAAGCACCAACATGTCATTCAAGTCGCTGCCGTTTATAGATGAGATAGTAGGAGGCAAGGAGGAACAGCCTTTCACTTTTTTTTTTTTCCAATGACAAAGTGGGCAGGAGGGGCTGTATTCTCTGAAGCCAGGGGGTAAACAATATACTGTATGACACAAACTGTAATTACAGCTGCAGCTGAAGGTGCCTCAGGTGTTAATTATGAGCTCCAGCTTGTGTGTGTGAAGCAAAGTGTCATCACTCAGGTTCTTTCTACAGTCCTTCCTGGACGTTTCATGACAGTAATTTCTCCTGTCACAGACAAGCAGACTATAAATGTGACAGACAGGCAGACGAAGCTGAGCACGTACCAAAATTAACACGTCATTGAAACTGGGCTAAAATTTTGGATTTAGAATTTTTTTTTTCAGCTACTCACTTGGCCCTCATCAAGTCCTGGTCCTTGAGGGCCGACCCCTGAAGGTAAATGACTCTCTGGGCCCACAGTGGGACATGAAGGATCCTCCTAACCTGGACGTCCATCTCTGCCGGACACAAGATCACCACGTAGTAGTCCTGAAGACACATGGAGACAGGTTCCACAGTCATATGGCTGGAAAGTTCAACCATTAACGTCACATCATAACAGAAGATCTCTTTCTGATGATTGGATGTAGCCATATTATAAAATGAACAAAAACCACTGTGGGACGAATAGAGTAATTCTTATCTTATTTTGCCTAATCTAATCTAATCTAATCTAAACTAATGTAATCCAATTGAGTTTAATCTAATCTAATCCAATCTAATCTAATCTAATCCAATCTAATTCAGTCCAATCTAATTCAGTCCAATCCAATGTAATGTAATCTAAACTAATCTAACCTACTCTGGCATGTTTCAGGAACTGTGGTGCGAAACTGGAGAATCTGGAGAAAACCCTAGGTGTCTTCATCCACCACCAGGGTTCAAACTGTTGACCTATTGACTGTGAGGCAAGAGCACAGTACCAACCAGTTTTCAATCTGGCCCAGGAAAAAGATGAATGATTTTCTTTAGAAAAATCAATCAAATCACTTCTTCACCTTCAACATATTAATGCTGAGAGCAGTGACCAATCCCAGTGGACATTAAAGTGTACTTAATTAATGCTCTGGTCAGGTCACCCAGTTCAGGGTCACAAGGTCATGTAAATAACAACTAACAACCAACATTTTATGTTAGCATTCGCAACTTAAGTTTCTTCAGAGGGTTTTCTTCAGGCGAATTGACGTGTTGTTTCAATTGACGCACACACACACACACACAATACAACGTTAAAACTCCACCCGAAGGCCATCTGTCCGGGCCAGGACTGGGATATGTCAATGACATAAAGACATCAGGTCCTTGAAATGTCCCAGGGCATCTCAGAACATAATTCATCTGTGTCAATTACTGACTGACTTGTTTTTCCTGCAATAATTAATCAGAATTAATGAATTAACAGCTCTATAAATAACTCATTGACCAGATAAGCAGCTGAAATCACGGTCTTTTTTTAATAATCAGATGATCCTGTATAACTACCTCCTGAGATGTTGAGGACAAAACCAAGTGGTTAAAAAAAGACAACGAGTGCACATGCACGCACCAGAGCAAACACAATCTGCCCCTGTGTTAATAGGCCAACAGTTTGATCTGCGCTACAGGCCAATTAATCCTCTGCTCTAACCCAGAGTCTCTGGGGCTCAAGAAGAGGATCAGGCAGAAGAAGCACACAGAAATGACCCCTTGACCCCCAGCTGGAAAAAAAAATAGAAAAATATTTAATCCAGACCTGTAGTCGTGGGTGAGCGAAGAACTCATTGAGGAAGTCCATGAGGAGGTCGATCTTCAGACAGCTGACACACAGCACCACGTGTTTCTCCGTCTGGGCCCTGTAGCGGCTGTAGTTCCCCCCGGACTTCTGTCGCTCCATCCACAGAAAGGCCAGCTGCTCAAACTGCACCAGGACAACATCCATCACATTCAACAGTCAGAAATACATGGAGGAGGCAGGTGGTGCATGGAGGCAGCACAATGACCGCTGATAAGTACTGTTTTCTTTACCGATTGGGGAAAAGTGTTTGGACGGAATCAAGATTAGAGGAACTGGAATAAGAGGAATGGATTCAGGACCAAATGGTTGATTAGGTAAATAAAATAAAGAGGAGAAGAACAGAGGAAAGGTTTTAGACTAACAGATGAATAACTGAACAAAAAAATAAAAAACAGAAAAAAAAAACACCCATTAGTGTTTAGACAGTAATTACTGCAATTTGTAGTGAAAGACATTTTAGAGAGGTAGGAATGAGAATCTGATAATCAAACTAGCACAATGTGTTTTTATATATTTAAAAAAACAATCGTTTTTGGAACAATGAGACACACACATAATCCATGGATTCTAAGTCTCAGCTGCGCAAAAAGTACTGGAAAACTTTCCTTCGCTCTTTATAATTAAAAAGCAACAAAACTTTTTTTTCTCTCTCTTTTATTGTCCTTCCGTTTTGTGGTGGATTTTTGTGTTCTGCTAAAATTCCCTCTCACCTTTTGTAATCAGGAAAAGAGCAGCGCGTTCAGTGGGGTAGAGCGGTGACGTTAATGTTACAGTGAGAGGGCTTACGCATAGTTTGAATGCCATTTTAGAAATATATATACTGTGGGCCATGGGCTGAGGGAGGGTCGGCTTCTAAATGTCAAAGCTTTTTTTTGTAGTGCAAAGGGAGAGAGAGAGAGAGAGAGAAAGGGAGAGAGAGGGAGGTGAGAGTGTGTCATGGCATCCATGTTGCTGATGCTGGGAATGCCATCAAAGTTAGCTCATTATGTCCACCATCGTATGGTTTGTTTGCACTCTGAATTGGTCACAGCACAGTCACAGCTGGTGGCCAATCGTCTGTGTGACAGGAGTGAAGGCTCACCCGCTGCTCATGTGCTGCACTTAAACAGAGACAAAGGCTACCCAAGCTGGGCAGAGTCACCGCAGCAGCAGAAGAAATATGACATGATTGGTGTAAATTGCCCAGCAATGTAGAGAACTGTGTGTGTGTGTGTGTGTGTGTGTGTGTGTGTGAGAGAGAGAGAGAGAGACCTCACAGACAAACATTCCTACTGTGAGCACTTTCTATTTTTTTAGCATCTCTCAATAAGTCAAGAATGAGAGATTTACAGAAACACGAAGAGCAACAACAGGGAGAACTGAGGCGTTATCCACGCCGTTCTTGGGATTCCGTGTGCTGATACAGAGCGTGTAAACATTTTACGTTTCCCTCAGAGAAACAGCTAATCAACAGGTGAGGGATTTGGAGAGATTAAGTGAAGAATGACAAAAACAAAACTGTGAATGAAATATTTTGATTTTTTTTTGTAAATGATATGAGTCATACAAGAAGAGATGATGAAAAACAAACAAACAACCGTGTTGATGTTAAAAAAAGAAAATATAATGCACTGCAAAGTCAATATTATACACACACTAATAGCGAACCAGCAAATGCTCCTGTGATCCTTCAGACTTTAATAAAGTATGGACCAGGTTTAAACAGTTTTGGTGCAGAGCCAACATTTTAGTTCAATATTACAAATAAACTCAGACTCCCAGATTTTAGACCAATCATGAAAAAGTCATATAAAACATTCTAAACATTCCCAACACTGAGAACAGTGGGTTATTACTTTTATTATTTTCACTTATGAGACTGAGGGCTGAAGAGAACAAAGCGTGACGTGATTTGCTGCTATGCAATCATTCAACCATTTGTTGGATATTTTTTCTAGAAGAAAAAACAAAAAGGTAACAAAAAAGACAAAAGATGACCAAAATAAAAATGTAAACCTACCTTGTTTAAATAAATTGGTAAATAAATAAGTGCCAATTAGCTTGAAAATTACTGTACTGGTCACCATGTTACATCAGAAATGGCACAAATGATGATATAAAAAAAAGGTATAATTTGTCCATTGAGGAAAATGCATGCAAAAAAGCAAAGATCTACTGAGATTTATTGCCAAAAAATGTCAACGTTTGCAAACAAGGCTTCAGTTAAACTAAATAAAACATTTTCAAAAAAAACCTACAGTGATGTTGCTGAAAGTTAGCAAATAATAAGTTAGAAGTAAGTTCAAAGATAATAATAATTTATTCCACAAAATTAAATTAAATTAAATTAAATTAAATTAAATTAAATTAAATTAAAGGTCATGGAAACATTTTATAAATTTAAATTCAAATTAAAAATTAAAGACAGAGAGATAGAGCAAGGTAGACAGAGAGAGAGAGAGAGAATTTCTGCAGATATTCATGTGAATCATTGTAGTGCTGCGTTATAAACTCATCATCAGCGTGTCCGTGCTTACATTGAATTCATTATCACATCTCACCTGGATAGGAAGCACGATGAGCGCCACAAAGATCATGATGACCACCAGGAGCTGTGAGGGCCAGATCTGGGGGGTGACGTCTCCAAAGCCTACCGTGGAGAAGGTGACCACGCAGAAGTAGAGCGAATCGAACAGGGTCAGGTTGTTGCCCGCCCGCTCCAGATGCTGAATTCCGCAGATGCTGGATAAGAAGGGTCAGAAGAAAAAGTCTTAAAAATGGATGAAAATTGTATAGACATATTAATATTGAACATTTGTTTATAACTGTGTGACATTGTTAAGGGAGGCGATGGGGGAGGGTGGGTTTATGAACACACTTATGGGACAATGTATATTTGCAGACACAGGCGTGTAAATTCAAGCTGAGCACATTATCCCAATTTCTCGCAGATGACTAGAGTCAACATGGCAAATGTCAGGACTGAAACAGTCAGAGGGCTTAATTCATGTCGTGTGCAGGCTCCCCTGGATTAGCTCGGGCTTTCTCAGCAAATAGGCAGTGGGCTGACACATCCAGCACTGCACTGGAGCAATCAGCAGTTGTCATTTCAGAGCACTATCTCCCTCCCACAGTCATCAACTACCTTTCTGCTCACTGTCTTTCTCCCCGTCATAGCTCCAGGAGGAGCTTTTATTTTTCTGCACGTTGCTTGTCCATCTCATCCTTTTTCTGCTTTCATCTCCTCAGCTTGAACACTCTCTCTCTCTTTCTACCTCCTTCTCTCACTGTATACCCCCCCCCCCTCGCCCACCCTCCATCCCTCTCGATTTCTGTGTCAGCTGCGAGGATACCCACCATGTAAACATGAGACAGACCAGTGTGCTGATGAGGATCACCACCTGGTTGAACATGGCTGAGTGCGTTCTCTGAATGGCCCTGTGGAGGTCGTTCTGCAGACAGACAGGGGGACACAGGTAGATAAGGACAAGTGGAAAACAAATTTGATAAAAGAGCTGGAAATGACCCAGCACCGGTGAACGTAAACATTTGTGATGTGTATACATTTCAAATCCCATCTCTATTGACAGACAGGATTATCCCTTACCCCTGAGTTAAAGGGCAGAGTGGTAAAAATCTACCCCTACAAAATGGAACAACCCAGTAAGAAAATGTTACATTATTACAGACCCCATCATACCGGTAGTTAGAAAATGGCTGAGCAGCTCCATCCATTACCACGTTAGAAAACCTCAGTGAGGGACCAGTAAATGTCTTGTAGAGTGGACTCCAGACAGGTTTTGTTTGAGTTAGATATGCTTAATTAATTAAAGTTAATTAATTTACTTTATTTTGCTACTGCTCTAAACAACACCTTTGTTTAGATGATGATTATTGTAATATTAGATTATCTATCTATCTATCTATCTATCTATCTATCTATCTATCTATCTATCTATCTATCTATCTATCTATCTATCTATCTATCTATCTATCTATCTATTGATCATCCATCCATCTAAAAACCAGCAGTCTTTGGTGGATATTGTGTGATTCTCATTTTCATGATTTGCAAGCTATTTTCTAAGGACAGTGATGCAAAACACACTCAGTGTCCAAGAAGCTAAATTGTGCTAAATGAGGCCTGGAATTGTATACTGTATCTCCCAGTGAAATTTTTTTTTTTTCTTTACTGACTGCATACAAGTGTTCAAGGGCTGCTCATGTTGACATTAGTACTTTTTTTATAACAATCTAGTTGACTTTTTTTTATCTTTGGTACTCAGAATTCAACATTGATTTTTTTTTTGTCAAAGAAGGCTCGAACATGGAGTCACGGAACGCATAACTTTTCTGCATGTGATGTATTGCTATCTTATTTCCTTGTTAGTTCTCTGGAGGCATTGTTCAGTGTAGCAGTGACCATAGTTTTAGGTAGTAGTGCTAAGTTGTCCCTGTGTTTATTAGAGTTGCACCATGGTTTCTAATGCAACTTGAGCACGTAGCTCAAGGGTGAAACACGTCCAGTAGCTCCTCTGCCCTCGGCCACGGAGATTTCTCCAGTCTCCCTGAACCATTTTACACTGTTGTTACCTGTAGATGGTAACAGGGCTAAATCTTTTAGTTTATGTTCAATAATTTGTTCATAAAATCATGGAAAAAATCATTTTCGTATGAAGTTTACCACAAAGTAGTGAACCCTGGCTCACCTTTTGGCTGCTGTGTCTGTTATACCTAACCTCAACACTCAGCTTTGTTAACCGTTAAACTGCTTATTGTGTAACCTCGCAAAATTGTGTTTAATATTTATTATTTTTCCTGTCCTTATTTCTCTGGACTATGTTGAAAGCATCAACTTCTGCATGCATTTTCATTCCATTCCATACATCTATCTATTCTACACCTGACCCTGGACACGTTACCATTCCACTTACAGTGACACACACAGTGACCAACCAGTATTCACTCTCACATTCATGAATATGGTGAAGTATATAATTTACAATTTTGTGGGAAAAAACCCCCCAGAATATCTTGAGAAAACCTGATCATCATTTCTTTCTAGAGTTAATGCAAGCTAAGGATCTGACACAAATACAGTGCTTCGCTTACAATCATGTTCTCCAGAGCGTGCTTCGCCAGCCAGCAGTTAAGGAACACAGGGATAAAGAGATTTTTGAGGGAAGGCAGAATCACCTGTGAGGAGGAGAAAGAAAAGCATCAGTCTGCTGCTGCCTCTGTATCACATCTGCTCTTTGAAATGCATAGTACACAGTCACACAGTCTCCCATAAGGAACGGGATTAGGAATATGTGAGAGCCACTGTGTAGTGATATCTGTTCTCTAATACAGTGGGTAGAGCCCACCAGTTATCAACTGTGTGTGTGTGTGTGTGTGTGTCGTGACAAATGTTTCCTGGGAACGTTGTTAGTGACAGTGAGAAACAAACAGCTGTCTGAGAGACCCCTCGCTGTCAGTGCTCACCAAGGCATATCCTTCTACTTACAGTGATCATGAAGGGAACGGCGCTGATCATTTCCAGAATGAACGGAACACGTAACACTTGTTCCCAAATGTTTCCCTGGAAACATAAGCAGAGCACACACACGGAGAGGTCAGGAAACTCTAGTGTCACGGCGACCTTTAGGGATTACCAGCTAAGAGGACAAGTTTGCCACAGAATCTTTTACATGAGTGGATTGTGAGGGGAACACGACGCCCTGGGGACCCCTGAGTGGAGGAGCAGCATTACCGTGTTTACTTAGCAGGCTTTTATTTTCAATTAAGCTGTCAGCCACGGCGGCTTTTATGTGCATGTGGCTGACCTGAATGGCACAGGTGCCGTAGGTGGACAGGCACTGGGTTTGTCCACAGGAGGCAGTCAGCTCTAAATGCTACGGCCTGAAGCCTCCTGACTAATCTGCAGAGAGACCTCTTCAGGTCCGTACGGTGTCAAGTACATCAAAGGCCAGGCTTCCCCTCATGGATCCGCCCCCTGCTGTAGCAACCTTGAAACTCCCCCTCAAAGATTTTCCCATTTATCAATAGCAGGTTGTTGCTGAGGAAGATTCGAGGTCTGCTGAGGAGACCACCGCCATTTACAAGAGCAACTAAAGAGGCGAAAACAAAAAACATGCCTTTACACCTCAGACCAAGGACCTCAGACTCATGTGCCGGGGGCCACTACTGCTATCATCACCTCGTTGGAGGGGCACAAAAAAATGAGTTTATTTGTTTTAAATACTGTATAAAACAACAGTACAAAAAGCATTTTAATGAACTAATTAAACAACATCTTTAGTGCAAGGGCACATGAGGGCAATTCTGACTTTAATTAACAAAATGCAGTCATGGGTATTCATATTAGTACTGGGCTGTCAGTGCAAAAAGAAATCCAAAAGCAGTCTTTAACCTTGTTCAATTTAAAGTTGTTTTTTTTAACCTCCGAATAACCTTCGAATGAAACACTCGAGTATCCACGTCTAAAAATCTTTTCTTCATGTTTTGCCTGCTTAGTCAGTGGACTGCTGTAAAGAACGGCATTATTATTCACATCTAGCACGGCCAGAGGTAACAGAGGCCAAGACCCCTGGCTTAGACGAATAAATGGATGTAGCCATCTAGTTTCACAGTAAAACTTTTGAAGTAGACCAGAAGTGCAGCAAAAAAAAAAAATTCCAGGGTAATTATTATTATACATAAAAAGTTAAAGTCTCCATGACAAGTATTTGGCTTCCCCTAGCAAAAATGATATCAGTTTTTTATATACCACAATCCTATTGAGAGGAAAATGGACGATAAAACCCAAAGGCAGAAAACAAGTATACTAGGAAATGTTCCTCTTTTAGGCATTTCTGACAGAAAAAAAAATGAAATTGTTATCCAAATTACACAAGGTGTTTCTTAAATAGTCAGTCATAGGGTGTAAATGTGTGATATTTTATATCCTTCATCAATAAGAAATTCCTATTATTTACTGCAATGTCATTTGTATACAATGTGGAAAACTGTAATATTAAATTATAAATAATGTTATACTGTAGTATTATATAAAATCATGTTGTCTAGAGGAGGTTAAATTACATACTTCATATCTGCATATCTATACTTCATGTCATGGTAACTGTAATATTTATGTCCATCACCTTCAGCCCAGTCTTAAGTCTGTTGGCCATACTGTCATTCAAAAATGCAAAGTGGACGACAAACCCTCAGGCTTTTTCTCAGCATATACTGTACACACAAACACCCACACACACATTCCCTTGCTCCACATCTACAGACATCACAGGAGAAGTCAGACGGTCGTCCCAGGTCCTCCAGTAACTCACCTTGTAGCTTAAATACACAAGCAACATTGTTTCTGAAAAACTGATGAAAGCCACAAACACCTGCAAAAAAGAGAGAAGAGGGCAGAGGTGGGAAACAGGGTAGAGAAGGGAGTGAGTGGAGCAATCAGACAGAGACCATAGTGGAGAGGAATTAGGAGCAGCGCTGATGAAAAAGGAGCGTGTGGGTGGAATCAGTAGGCGTGCTGATGATTGAGCTTTGGAGGGAAAAAGGTTTTGTAAAGCAGGAGATAACCCCACTCTTTGATTGTGTACATACGTGTGAATTCATTGTCCTTGTGTCAATAAACAGACATGCAGTCGACGTGCACATGTGTGTGCATTCATTTATGCAGAATTGTGAACAAACAGTGTGTTTACACAGGAGTGTGCTGATGTATCTAACCTGTAGTGCCCACAGCGGCAGCGGTCTATCCACCCAGATGATCAGTTTCCTGTGAAGATAAAGGAAAAGGAAAGTAAAGAGAGGGCAAAATAAACTGTAATAAACAGTGAAATGAATAGACAACATATTGAAATTCCTTTTCTGCTCAGCACAATAGTGAGCGACGGTGGACATGACCATCAGGAGGAAGAAGTAATTTTCAGTCGAAATGGGAATTTACGGCCTTCCTTTGAAGAAAAGTTGTTTCTCTTCTGTTCAGAGACACCCTGGGGTTTATCACGGCTGACTGTTCTTCTCTGAGCCTGGAGAAGGTGGCCAGCTCACTCTGTCAGGCTCCTTATTCATTTGGAGCCAGAGCTTAGCCGGTGTCACCAGCCAACCGTTAGATCGATACATCCCAGAGCAGGAGACACGGCCACGGAGGAGTCCATGCCCACTTCCTGCTCCCTCCCTGTTGTTTTATATTGCATACTTAATCTCCACTAAGGTCTCAGCTGATTAGCCAACACAGCTACTATGTATGTATAAAGTTGACAGCCAGTCAATACCGTTACATTGTGATAAATGAAGGTGGATCTGTAATGGTCCACATCAGCATTGGGTATTGTATCGGCTAAGTGAAGTTGCATTGATTGTTTTATACAACATTTCCGACCTGTGGGACAGCGCCGGTCATGCACAGTCCTCCAGGGGGCAGTGGTTCACGGCTTTGGTTTGCAGTCCGGAGTTATCATTTCTTATTAGACACACATGCTTACCAATCAAATTCACTCCAGGGACGAGAGGACGCGTTTGGCTTGGTGCAGTTTTCTCCGCTTACACTGCAGGAGAAAAGCACAACGTAAAAAAATAAAAACGTTTTTATTTAACGTCTTTTCAGTGCCAGGACTCCATTCATTCTAATGAATTAATTACATGCAAAAATATTGCGTTAAAAATAGAGCAAGTATTCACACCATTCCCAGTTCTCTAATTTGTCTAACCCTATCCCTCGAGTCCAGTAGGTGGCAACAATGCACTAATAGTTTGTTTGCAGTATATAGCTTTAGCTTCTGATACAGGCAAACAGAGTAGCCTTAAATTCTCAAACTGTTCATTAGAATAGCTGTAATTGTACTGTGAGTTGATGAAAAATAATTTTAAAATAGTTTTAGTCATTCAGTAATCAACCAGAATTAATTAGATTTTTTTTATTTGATTAAAATGCATGTAGCCACAGATAATTAACTACAAAGCCTCCACTAATCTGATTTATTTTTATTTTTGTAAATTTCTTTTAAACAGAAGTACTGTACTATCCCTATGGTTTTATGTGCTTTTCCTGATTGCACCCCCATCCTTCTCTTCTGCCACTGAAACCTCACCTCCACTCTTGTTTTTATGAGATTTTTCTTACACACACACAGTTATCTCTGACATCGGCTGAGAACACTTATTTCTGCTATCAACTTTCTACACATACAGAGAGCTGGCTTCACCTCATTAAGCCTCTGTTATCACACGTTCTCTCACCAGTCTTGTCTCCCCTCTTGCGGATTGTCCAGCAGAACTCTAACGATGTAGAGGAGGCAGCTCAGCACTTTCAGAGCGAAATTAAACATTCGAACCCGCAGACCTGTGAATCAAACAGCAGTTAACAGCTCGTTAGGAAAAGTATATCAACAGCTTAAGGGGGAAAACGATTTAAAATAAAAGTTTTTAGTTTTTATGACTTGGAATAGTGAAAAAGCTTAGTTACTGGTCACGGGTTAACAAAGGTTAGTGGACACCAATAACAACAACAACAACAACAATTAGTTAATTAGTTAATTAATTTCCAACAATAAAGTCCAAAGGATTTGGGATAGGATGAGTTTGTGGCCTACTTTACTCCTATTACTACTACCACTACTTCTACTACTAATACTGCCACTATTACAGATGTTACAGGCTACTACTTCAACTACTCCTATTGCTACTACATACAACAACACCATTTTTTTTATGCATGGCAGTTTAAACCTTTCGTATTTCTGACATTAACTACACAAATACAGTATGTGAACAGAAAGGGTGTCAACCCAAATACAGGTTACTCACTGGATCTTTGGTTTTTGATGAAGAACAGCTTGAGGCGCTCCTTGAACGTGTTCTCATTCACATAGAACTCTACCTGCACCCTGAGAGAGGGACGGAGCGGAGGGCAGAGATTAGATGAAGGAAGGAGAGGAGAGGAAAAAAGGGGAAAAATTCTCTGAGGAAGAGAGGGTCGCGAAATGTTTTTGTAGGGCATGGTGTTATTTCTGTTTTTTTTTTTTGTTTTGTCCCTTACATCACGCAATGACCCCCCCAGGCTTGGACATGCCTCTGTACAGTGTCAGTCCTGGGACAGATTAAAAGACAGCAAGTAACGATTTGGTAAAGGAAAAGAAGAAAAGGAAAGAATTAATATTAGGATAAAAAAAATGAACGGCTGAGCCAATTGCTGATCAAAAAGGGTCATAATGAATATTTGACTTTGAAAAGTGTGTAAATAAGACACAGTGGTTGACTGCATTAAAGACTAATGGGTTTCGGAGGAAATGCTGTTCCTGCTTGTCCTCCTGCCCATAAGGCCAGACAGCTGCAGTCAGTCTCGTTATCTCCCCTGATTAAATATAGAGCAACAAATTACTTCCCTCTGATGTTTCTGCTGAACATGGGAGGCCATAATTACTGCTCTTTCTGTGTTTCCATTCTGGCACCCTCCTGTTAGAGACACACACACACACACACACACACAGGTCTAAACTACACACCTGCAACCGGGTCAATGAGATTGTTATACCATTCGCACAGCTATCCTACATGGACACTCATGAAAAGTCATGATGGAACTGACAAAGGGACGCTGCGCTCCTACGAGCCTGGAGTCACACGGGCAGGCAGACTGAAGGTGACGCTGTTTCCTGTCAAAAAACCTCGGGGGAGAATTCTCAGTAGCCCTTCTTTGATCCTATAGAGAGAAGAGTGGATGACTCAGGTCGGGGCTGATAAAAAAAACCACAGGCCCGACTCACAGGTGGTCGTCTCGTCACAACACAAAGACACATGAAAGAGGAGCAGGACGACTGTAATCTATTCTACTGTCTGCAGGCAGAGGAAAAGGCGGCAGGGTCTTCCCAGGGTTCCAGAATGACGCTGTACCGACACCCGGCGTGTTCACACTCACCAACACACACCTCAAGAACAAGTTATATTTGACGGATGAGTGTGTTTGCGCGTGCGAGGGGGGAACTTTCTTCAGTGTTGCCATGGTAACACGGTAGTCATTGTCTTTTTTTCCTCCCTCCCTTCCTTTCACGAGATCACATGTGAGTAAACTCAAGTGTTTGCAGCCACAGAAGCTGATGGTCTGGCTCCAACTTGTTGACTTCTCCATTTGCTTTCA